TCTCCACCGCCACCTCCATTGGCTGGAGGATCGGGCCCGAGTAGAGCCGTATGAACTCGAATAAGATGTGTGATTGTGATGGTGATGGGATGATTGGCCATATGATTTGTTGAGATTCACAGAGAGAAACTTGGTCCCGACTCCGGGATTGGCCATCTCAAGCTCTGACCCAGACTATCAACCCGTTAGCGGATTCGGATCGCCGCCAACGCATCAAAACCTTAACCCTAACTTATGTTTATTAACCGGTTACCTTTCCTCTTCTTACAGATCTCTCACACAGGAGTGATGACGAAATGGAATCGAAACCAAGAATCTCCCTGATCAAGACAGAAAGCTTAATAATCAATTCCAGAGTCCAGTTACCGTAACTGACAAACTAAAATTAGAAAGAAATATTATTATTGTTGGCCGTATTAGGGTTTCGTAATGGTGCAATTAGCCACAGGAGGAAAAAAGATCAAACTGGAAAAGGATTTGAGAGTGCGTAATAAAAAAAAGAAACTTACCTCCGGGATAAGGACAGGGACGGCGGTAGCTAACGTGCGCCGCGGGAGAACCAGTATAAGATAAGCGTTAGAAAGGAAGCCCTACTACCCTGACTCCAACCGGAGAGAAACGAGAGACAGGCACGGGAGGAAAATAAGGACGAATTTTTCGTCTTCCTCGTGTTTTATTTTATTTTATTTAAATTAAAAAAAAAAAATACATTCTTGTTGTTCGTTTTTTACCCTTTAAATTTTTTTGTTTCATTATTACTTAATTTTCGTTTTTAAAATGTAATTTGATCTTATTAACATATTGAATGAACGACAATTATCTTAAAGAATGAGTTTAGTTATATATATTTCTTTTTTCTAAATTGTATATATATTTTTTTAGTTTATGCATAACCTTACACGTATTATGGTAATTAATTTTTTATATCTCAATAATTAATTTTGTAATAAAACTGTTTTATTTACTACTTGCAAGTTACTTTTATCATAATATAACTTGAAAAACTATTATTTCAGCCTTCTAAAGCATTTTCTTTAATTTTATCTTTTTAATGATAATTATGATCCATAATGATGTCATTATCTAATTTATTAATTTCTGTATGATATAAAAATACAGAGAAATAATACTTTAAATAATTATATACAAATAATAAAATATAACAGTAATAACTGATATTGTGAGTAAAGTGTTTATAATTTAAAAAAATCAATAATACTTTTAGATAATATTATTTTATTTATTTTAAAATTTTATTACAAGTTTACTAGACATAGAATTTTATTTTATTTTTAAAGTTAATATAAGTTTAATATATTTATATATTCTAAAACAAAAATATATTTTATTTTTAAAAATATTTATATATTCGAGATTATAGTTTTAAAAAGTTACGCCTCTTTTTTTTTTTCTTTTTTTTTTTTTTTGGTAATAATTATGCCTCTATGTTGAACGCAGTCATTCCAACCTGACACTGGGCCTAATATGGCGTATCTGGAGTGGATTTCCCTCTAGGATCCAGGGCTCGACCGTGTCTCATCAGGGGCATCTTCTACATCTTCCACAATTGCACGGCAGTCTGAGAGAGAGAGAGAGAGAGTGGTAGCCGTCCTGCTGGGCGTCTTTCCATTTAGTGTGCCCCGGCCCGTGCGGCCATGGCGACGGATCCAAACTCAATTGAACCTCCTTGCTCTCCCTCCCAATCATCTCCACACTTCAGGTGCTTCTTTTCATTTTTAGTTCTCTTTTTTTTTTTTTATGTCATAATTATCGTTTCCGTTACTTGTTCCCCCTCTCTAATGGCAGCACTCTTTTCGATTTGTTTAACAATTGAGCTTCGATAATAACACAAATCCGTGCTCCATTGTAGTCACCGCTCCACTTCTATG